TTTACCATGGGTTTGATATATCCAACTATGTGAATTATGCTGCCACCTTGGAACAATGGAGGTGAATGGAAGTACTTTGGTGGCGCTTTCAGCATTGAAAACATCCATTTGTAAAACTTGATAGCACTGTGTCTTTAGAGAAAGAATGTTGCAGGTACTCAAGATAGTTCACAGACCTCACTGTTTTCATTAGCAACTGTCTGCCTAATGAAAACTTTTTTACAGATTTACAGTGTCACTGATTAACAGGTTAAGAAAGAGAAACAGGAGAACGCCTGTCAGCAGTGGAGCGCCATGACCGTCTGGAAAAAATCAACCAAAATCTATTACCATTTGGGATATTGATATTAATTTGGTTGAATTTGTCCTTTTCAAGCTTTTTTATTTTTAGAAGTACAGTATGAAAATGAAGGCAGTTTAAAATGTTTGAACACTATTTTATTCCAAAAGGTGGGTGAATAATCAAAGCAAATCTAATCTTAAACAGATAGTCCACTGATTTTACACAAAAGGCCCTACTAGTAATGAACAGTACTACTCATTCTGTTGTATAACCTCTTCTGTGTCTTTGGATGAGAAAATAACCTTGATGATATCGTTGAGGTTGTGGAACGGACTGGGTTGATACCCCTATTTGTACATAGTTTCTTCAGTCATTATTGTGTGTACATACAGTATGCTGTGTGATTAAGGTGTCCCTGTCATGTTGGTGTCTCGTCCAGGCACAGAATGGACAGGATCTAAGCAGCGGATGTTGGCGGGTATAATCACTGACTACTTCTTTGGCATTGGCTACATTCTGCTTGCCGGATTGGCATACCTCATAAGAGACTGGCGTAAACTGCAGCTGGCAATCTCAGCACCTGGTTTCCTCTTCATTTTCTACATCTGGTGAGTGGTCAGGGTCAGCAGAGGGACCCAGATTTGATGCAGTGTGTTTCTTGAGTTTCGAAAGACAAAAAATTACTTTAACAGTATCTTTAGAAAATCAACAGACTGGGTTGAGTTTTGCTTGTGTTTTTGAGAGTATATGATAAAGGACATCCCCTTTTTATTCCCTATGAATGAAAACAAAATGTGTAGTAGATGCCAAATTCCTCTTTTACTTTTAGTGTAGGAAAATGCACTGACATACTTGCTATAGATCTCCCTTGACACACATTTTTAATTGTCAAACACAACTGATAACCTGAATAATGGCTGCATTTGACTGAAGACTTCCAGTGTTCTAATGTTATTAGTTACACCTGCCCTTTTTCTTAATACAAGTCAACTTGTTTGCGCGGTGATAGTAATCAGGCGGACACTCACATTGTGAGATGCACATGTGTAGATTTGTGGTGAGATTTCTGCCTGATCACAAGTGTTTTCGGTTAGTTTCGGTTTCCACCTCCTTGTCTCATCCTAACATACAGTCCTAAACTGAAGGGCGTACGACCATATCAGCAGAGCAATAACTCTCACTCTGCACAGCCCAGAGTAACGGCAGAACTTTAAAAAAATATTCTCATTAAATGATGACATTAGTCTCGTAATGTCATGACTTTTTTTCTCTGTAGGAGAGATTTTGAATGTGCAGAAATTTGACATGATAACAAATCCTGCTGAAGAGCTACAATGTCCAGAAGTTTATAAATTAATTAAAATGAATTCATCACTGAGTTGAAATGTGCATTTGACACACACAAGTCACTTCCCCAAAGGTACAATTTTTTTTTTTTATTACTATACAATACAAGGTTGTATGATACACATACAAACATAGAATCAAATGTGTATTAAAATATGGTAACATATTTAAAATGATCTGTGCTGGGAGCTAAGGGTGGGCGGGTAGGTGGTGGTGCTGGAGTGGGTGTGGATGAGGGGCCCAATTTGGAAAATGTTGTCCCCCTGTCCATAATTCCTAATGGCTGGCCTGCCTGCACCACCTGACGTACGGAGTTTCTGTTCTGTACCTCTCCCACTGCTCTGTCTGAATCCACAAGAGATGTTGAAGCCCTGTCTGTCTTGCATTTATAGAAGCATGGCATGATGGTTTCTGGTCAAAAATTCATGTCACATCATTTCTGTGATAAAATGTAATAATGCAATGTAGAATTACAATAAAATAGCTGCTTCAACTCCACCTAGGGCTTTTGGCTCAAATTATCCCATCACTGCCATTCAGCAGCTAACGTCATGCTAACAGTATAGCCTCAAACTGTAACTTCCTAAAGCACTAACACCTGAGATTTATTCACACTTGTTTGTAATAGTTAGGACACAAGAATCATTACTTTTTAAACTTAAATGTGCTTATCATTTATTCCATGGGCCTCTCTCTATCACAGGGTGAGTAAAATGGATGTATCTTCAAAAATGTGTGGTCACATGACCAATGTTGCAGAGAAACAAGGGGAGGCTCAACTTCCCCACAGGCTCAAATTGCCCTGCTCTCCCTTACAGGTGTTTGCAAGAAGTTTACCTGGGCAATTTGTTTTTACGTTTTTAGGGTGTTGCCAAAATCAGCTCGCTGGTTAATGGCCAATGACAGAAAAGAGGAAGCATGGGAACTGATTCTGAAAGCAGCGCAGATGAATGGGAAGCCCCTCACCAAAGATTTGGAGATGTGTCAGGTAAAGATGCAATTTTTTTTTTTTACTATAGATATTTTTGATTTACTATACAAAACTGATCTTTGTAAAATATAACCTCACCCCCCTTACTTACTGCTGCTATGACACGAAGGATCTTTCTTTCCACAAATGTGGAAATTTAGCAACCAGCAACCGTCGATTTTGCCAGCTGAGTAGAAAACTGTTGTTTGCAGCTTTCTCAGCTGTAACTTTCTAGCTAATTAAGCTTAACTAAGTACTTGATCACTACATACTGTATGATATTGTGGTAAAATGGGGGGGGGGCTAAATCTTGAGAAGCTACAGCGTTGCAGTCTCTATTCATTAACATACATTTCCAGCTAAAGTGAGGCTTATTATTAATATCAATACATCAGTCTTTGTGTGGTTTGTCAGTGCTATTACGGCCGAACGGTCCACGAGGTTCAGCACACCACCAGCTAGTGATGTAGCACTCGAGACCGGTCTTGGTTTTAAGACCACATATTGATGGTCTTGGTGTTGTCTTGGTCATTGAGGACTCAGGATTTTATTTCAAGACCAGTCAAGACCATAACTTTGGGAATATCAATAATAAATTGCTTTTGCATTGTCTGACTTGTTAACATCCTAACTTTGTTTGGAAGTAAAACTTATTGCTTCAAATGCAACCAATATCCCTAATTAATGATTGTCACCCCTCCCTGCGATGCTTGCGTTGATTTCAGCTCTTAGTGTTTGGATGCGGGTGTTTTAATGGGAATGTGGATCTTTTTAGATAACTTTGAGAACTACTTATGATCTCATTCCACATTTTATTGCGTGCCATGCAATGCAGGGAACTGGTCTTGGTCTTGACTACAACACTACCACCAGCACAGCTGGAGCTCTGTCTTTTCCTCTTCACCTCTATGTAGAGAGACACACACACGTTTTTTATGGGTTAGGGTTACAATTTAGGATTTATTCACGCACTTTAAAAAGATTTATTAAAAGCTTCTTTCTTTTCACATTTTTGTTTACAGCTTTATATGTTATTTATATGATCATAGGCTGTGTATTAATGCATTGGGAGAAAACCAGTAGTTCTACGTAAAATCAGACATTGAGTACCCCCATTTAGCCAAAATGGTATGATCCTCATTATAAATGTATCTTCTAACCTCACAAACTAGTTAATTAAAGCTCTTCCTTAATGCTTCCTTCATGTGTTCATTGGATGGTCCCATGTCCCGAGTTGTGAAGTCGTTCTTCTGACCTCAGTGTGTTCATGTGCTTTTAAATGGGAATGTGGAAAAAAACACGGACGTTACAAAGATGTGTTGGATTGTCACTTTGAAGCTTTAAGTGACCTTAGAGAAGATAAAAACACTTAATCTATTCTGTGCTCTTGTGTTTTTGCTTTTACCCTAAACAGTCTTTAAATGCAAAGTTTAGTTCTTACTACAGCCACATGTACCCCACTGAGTTTCGACAATCATTTGTAGGAGGGGTTTAATAACTTGTTCTGACTGGAAAAAAAGATAATTTTATAATTGATAAATTACAAATTAATATCAAAATTTGTAGATCACCTCATTGGTCTTCACTGCATATTTCTGAATAGCTCTTCTTGATTCAGTAGCAGTGAGAGTGCACCAACTGACTAGTTACTCCACTATCAAACAAATGCCTCTGACTCAACCAGCAACCATTATTACTTTGCATAAATGTGTCCCTCACTCATTATCATTTAAACATGCAAACTACTTTAAACAGTACTGTTCTGTCACTTCAAACTCCAGAGCGTCTTACTCACTGTCTAACTCAATGTTTTACCAGGTCTATAAAATTGAAGAGGATACAGAGGTGAAGAAAAAACACTCAATCATAGACCTTGTCCGAACCCCGAAAATGAGGAAGCAGTCTTTGATTGTTTTTTATCTCTGGTGAGTATGAGTACAACATTCTATCTCTCTTTATACAAGTTTCAAGACTTCGCCACTAAATCTGAAAATGTCACATCAACAGGTTTTAATGAGACATTAATTGCTGCAGTATTGCTTTTTCCTTGTGGTGTATAGTGGCACACCCAAACAGCAGAACTTCTCAGGAGGGATGCTTGCCCTCCCACATTCCTAACAGTCTGGAACTTGCCTAGCGCACTCTTCTTTGCCATCTCTTGTCAGTGTCATATTTACAACTGATTTAACGAGAAAACTCGGGGGGGGTTATGTATATATTTTAAATCACAAAATGGTACTGCGTCCTCACATCCACCCCCCAACTAAAAACTAATCGCTAAGATTGTAGCAAAAGGGGGGCATTACTTGTAATCATAAATTACAAGTAATGCAGAGCATATTCTTATTTATGCATTTATTTTTACTTATGTGTAACAGTATGGCATGTATAATTCTTCCCTGTGTGTAGACTAGCTGCTCTTCAATCACTGGATGAAACTTCTAAGACAGCTAACAAGTGACAGTGTAGTGTGTGTGTGACATGTTAAATAAAGGTTAAAACTTAAATGGAACAGTTGAAACCCAACAAAAAAAACAAAGTTCCTAGGGTTAACCATGTGGATTAGTGACAGATCATTAGGAAGACTGGAATGCACATGTGCAGCTCATTTATGTTAATGAGCTTGCTCACTGAAAACAGGCCAGATAGCTGCAGACTACATACCCCTCTAGTTTTTGCCCTTATTCTGAAAATTACTTCTTACTAATCTGTTTATAGCTAAGGAAAATTAAAATGTCACATCCCTTTTTACATGGAGCCATGCATACTCCAATTAATGTAATGATGTACGTTGTACTCCTACGCCCTAAGGAGGAATATTTCAAATTGCAGTCATGTTACTCCCAGGGTTGGTCTTCCCTGTTAAAGTAGGTGTGGTTCTCCTAATGACTCCTGACTCCTTTTGTGCATGCATCTCTCCCTTTCAAACCGTTGGCTAGTTGGTTTGTTTACAACGCACAGAGCTGAGGGCACACAGCCTTTTGACATGAAGCCTATGCCGAGTTCTAATAGTTCTACTTTTAAACGTTAAGACAGGTTTTTGAAAATGCAAATATCACAAGCCAATCTTTTCAGGACGGTGGTTGAACAAATGAAAGCACGAGCCTGTGTTCGTACTGTCAAGTCTGTACTGCACCTCTGCATTCAATCAGTAACATTGGTCCAGTCGTATGCAAGACTAGCTGCGGATCTCTTAGCTGCCTTTATGTCCGACAATGACCCTTGCTCTGGGGGATATGGGATGAAACTCATTGACACTGGTGCCAGTGCCGGCAGCCCGCTGGTGTTGTTGGACACGCCCTTCAGTCCTCCTCTGCTGGAGGGTGTAATGGGTGGCGGCACAAAGAGGAATCACCACTGGAATCTTAACTACCCGCCAACGCTACCTGGGGACTTCCACCCCAGGAAATGTTCCATTTCTACTTTAACCCATTATACAAAGGCTACACAGGTTTACTGAAGTAAGAGATGTGGTTCCACAAGAATTACTCATTTGATAACTAGTAACTAAGTGCCTGGAGAGAGGGAAAAAAAAGTGGTCACTAATGCAAATAACCAAATTACAATAAAGAGTTTTACAATTTCAGCAAACATGTTAATAATTTTAACAAAACACTCCCAGTTATTGTTGATTATTGAAGAAACAAAAGGTCGAAGTGGGCCAGGGCCAGCTGTGGAGAGGCAAACTAAGGGTGTGCTCCAACTTACCCACCGTGTGTGCCTGCAGCAATCGATAGTCACTGCAAATCGTGCCCCAGTGCTGTTAACACTACACTTGGTGAAGGGACCCACACTAGCCTCCACCACTAAAACCCCTGAGAAGGAAAATAAGTTAAATAAAACACAATGGGCCAGTTGGTTATGTCTAAAATGCAAGCATACTCAACTGGGAGAGCGCCACCTGGAGGCACTGCAGCCAGAGTGTACCAACAATTAATTGTTAAAATCTTAGATTAACTAAGGCAAAACAGCAGCTGACAACCTACAATAAAATAAAAGAAATACATTAACAACAGGTTTATAACAGTTACCTCTGGTAGTTATCATACCCCACTTGTTGCTCATTAAGCTTCTCATACCTTAACACAAGGTGCTCTGTAAAAGGACAACACATCATGCCTCTCTAGATAGGGAACCTTGGAATCAGTCAAAACAACCTCAGTCATTTGGAACACAATAAAAACATAAGACAGGTCACCTACCTAAACGTCAGAGGGTTCCGTGGTGCAACAGACAGGCAGGGAAAAAGCAGATAGGCAGTTACGTTATGATAACACAGCTGCCTTAAATAAGCTTATCTAATTAGGGGGTTTGATCTGAGTGGAGCTAATTTGATGCTTTAGAGGTGCATTCAAGCGCAAAACACCTGTAGGCCTGCATAGAAGCGCGCACACACACCACTACAAATGTATTTGTTCAGTCTCCCTGGCACAGAGACCTGCCAGGCAGATCTATGGCATGCCAGAGATAGTCTTCCCTGCACACGTGCACACACACACAAACAACACACAGTCAAAACTAGATAAAAGGAGTGTTATCACTCAGGTGTATGGACAATCTGGCAGAGACTGGTTGGAAAGCCGGGGTTTAAGACAGGAGTGGTGATTGCTGGATCTGCTTCAGGTGAGTAGGAGAGAGAGAGAGAGGACCATGACCGCCACACCCACTCAACACAGGACAGACAGATGACAAAGCACAAACACAAGGGAGAGGGAAACAGACAGAACGCACTAAGACTGGGAAGGCAGCAAGCCAAATCAAGACACACACGAACAAACTCACGATCCTCTATGGACTACTTTCTTTTTTTTTTTTAGTTCCAGCAAATCACAGTTTCTGTCAAAAATGTGTTTTAAAGCCAGTCAATAAGATTTGACTTACTTGTTGTACAACATGACCGTAATGTGAGATGGGTATGGAAATAGAACAGTCTCATAAGTGTTCACAAAGTATACATTACACCACGGTGCTGGCCTGCCAAGATACGTTACTCATACAACCCAATGCACAAATAAATGTAGAGTGATTTGTATCTGGATCTGTGCATCAACTTTACCAGTCTTTAATCATCATTTGAACATCATTTTAGCATTTTTAAATAGAAATATATTGGTCGATCTATCACTTTTTGAGTGGATTCATTTGAGACGCTTCTACCGTTCTGTTTCAAACTAAATCTACAAATTCATGAGATGATTTAGCCTCTATTTAGCTAGCCATGCGCCCGCTGCGCCTCCCCTTCTTCAAACAGTGCGGAAGAACAGTCGGTATATGATAAAGGGAAAGAAGAAGTGAACGTGAACCATGTGTATGACATTCTCCAAAGTGGTGCTTATGTTCGACTTTTTTCCCATCTGTCTCAGGTTCGCCAACGTGCTAGTGTACTACGGCCTGTCTCTCAACATTTCTGACTTTGGAATGAACATCTATCTGACCCAGATGATCTTTGGCCTGGTGGAGATGCCTGCACGCACCATCACCCTGTTTACCCTGAACCGTTCTCGTAAGATCTCCCAGCTAGCTTTCCTGGCTGTGGGTGGCACAGCCTGCCTGCTGACCATCTTCATCCCCAGCGGTATGAACACATGTACAGCTGTGTACTGTAGATGTCCTTACATTTTTGCTTGGGCTGGTGACTTTTCTCATTTTATCAACATTCAGTGTGAAATAAACTACTTTTCATATGACTTCCCCTAGACCTGTCTGTCATTAAGACTGTGTTGGCCATGACTGGGAAGTTTGGAATCACAGCCTCTCTGTCCATTATTTACGTCTACTCAGCTGAGGTGTTCCCTACTGTTATCAGGTGAGTGTTTCCGTCCCAAACCCTCCTGTGTGTTCCTGACAAAAAAGATAGCTGCTCCCTGACAAGGTTCCTGTGCCGCAATTTGATGCAATTTAGCAGTTTTGGCTGGCATTGTCCCTGCATTTCCTTTAGGTGGTTTATGACCCTGTCCAGTGCTCATTTTGAAATGAAGCCAGCTGTGTTGTTGTTGAGGTGTAATGCCAAAAAATCCATTTGACTCAAAACAATCAGCAGTCTAAAGGCTACTTAAACTTCAATAATGTCAAACAGTTAAAGAGCACAAAATAATATCAGTACTGTCCAGCCAGAATGCTTTTATAGCACAGATATTTGTGATGCTCATCAGCTCATGAGAAAACAAAGCTGTTACTCTAAAGAATGAACAATTGTGTTCTCAGGCCCTCCAGTATCCTTGAGCACTGAATGTCTTTGCTAAATTTCTATTAGTCTCTTTTGAAAAAACCCTATTCTGCTGGGAGTATAAGACATAAAATGAGATCCTTGTGAGTTTTTCTAAATCTAAAGAAATTTAGCTTTTCTAAATCTAAAGAAATAAAAGTAGTGGATGATTTAAACATGTAATACATGTTGAATATGTAAATAAAAAAATTTTAGAACTTAAAACACATTAACTAAAACAAGCTTTGTTATAAACTTTATGAACTTAAAAGTTTATAACAAACAAACAAGAGCGGGATACTTTGGATTGTGTCCCTTTTTTATCTGATATATTCCATATGTTTTTTTTCCAGAGCAGTAAATGCAAACCAGATGCTGGAACATCAGATTTAGGAGCAGCAGTGTCATTGTTATTGTTTGCAGACTGATACCATGTACACTGCTCAAAAAAATTGTGGGAACACTTAAATCTCGATGAACGAAATAGTTCAAATTTCAAAATATTTACTGTACATTATATAATTTGTTGAGAACAAAATGACGTAACTAGGGCCGAGGCGATTGCATCGCGTATGCATCTGGTTTTTAGTGGGATTCCACACAAGCACGGCACATTAGGACACGTAGTTCGTTGAAATATATTTTCTTCATCCCCTTCATGTGAAAAGTAATTGTTGTCATGGTAACGTAACGTTACACCGTGTGTGATCTAACGATCGGCTGTTTCATATTTTCTGTTTGTGTAACGGCCACGTATGAGCGAGAAAACAGCTGCATCTAACATTACAGACAACAATAACCGTACAGTCTGTGAATGGTTTCAGGTGTTTACTTTGCCCCACACTGATGCAGAAATACATTTGATTATCATACTGCATTACTCAATATTGAAATAAATCCATGTCAGAAACATTTAAAGTTTTAAGTAAAGCAGCCTAATTAATGTCTGTTATTGTTGTTATCACAACACATCAGTGAAGAGGAAATTTGATTAATTTTATGATATGCTGCTATTGTCATTATTCTAATGTGCTTCATCAGGATGACTTGATAAAATCTTATTGATTAGACATGTTTTTGATATTTAGTTTTAATAAATTGGGATGTTAATCGAGTAATAGGCAATTTCTTTTCTTTAGAATACACAAAAATAATCATTAGATTAATAGACTTGAAAAATAATGATTATGTACAGCCCTAGACGTAATAACGGTCCAATTTCACCAACTGATTGAGGGCTGGATTCAAAATCACACCGAAAATTAAAGTAAAACTCTTGAAATCACAGGCTGATTGAGTTTGTTTGACTTTTATCTGTGGTGCTACTTGGTGGCGATACTGATACATAACTTCATAGCTTCAGGGCTTCTCAGCAACTATTGTACTTAACAAAGTTGTATAGCAGTATATTTTCTGCTGTCTCTGTCCTCCTCCCTCAGAGACACCTCTGCTCTGTTTGACTGTCTCTCTCCTCCAGGATGCTTAATTCCCTCTGAAGCGAGTAAGCTAAACTTTATCAGAGGAGGTGAAGTTTACATTTGTGTGGATTTGTGGTGAGATTTATTTCTGATGACAAGTGTTTTAAGTTTTGGTTTTCTACCTCTGATGAAGAGCAGTGCGCTCGTCTCATCCAGTACAGTCCCAGAAGGGCTCTGTGTCTGTCAGACGGTCTAAAGGGGGAAACGTACTACCATATCAGCAGAGCAATAACGCAGGGTAATGCACAGCAGAGGGGAAGGTAGGTTTTGTTAAAATATTATGACTTCATTATCATTAGATTGCCATTTTATTCTCGTAATATTATGACTTTTGTCTCAAAATATTAATCTGTTAATGTCAGGGAACACAGATGTGAATGTGCAGAAAGTTTTGAACATGAGTAGAAATCCTGCTGAAACACAGGAGCTAATAGTCCATTTATCAAGCTTCTCTTAAGTGCTGAGAATAGAATAAATGTAATTTACTCCTACTTTTAAACTTAAGAATAAAAGTAAGTTATCAAATTTCTCAAAGCTAAGAATCACTCTAAGTTATTTTAGACAGCTCTCATGTGGGTGCTGATGGTGTAATGGATAAGACGCCTACCTTTAGTGTGAGAGACCCAGGTTCAGTCCCCCACTGTGACCCATCCACCATTGTGTTCCTGAGCAAGACACTTAACCCCTCGTTGCTCCAGAGGTGTGCGACCTCTGACATGTATAAGTTGCTTTGGATAAAAGCGGCAGCTAAATGAATAAATGTAAAGTAAGTGGCTAGGAGTTGCCAGTAGGGGCTTGTGATGGCACTGTGGAGACAGAAACATAGGAAGAATCTTTCTGAATTATTTGACGACGCGCAGTAAATTAGACGGGGTCGGACAGTGCAGGCATAATCTTTGTCAGCGAGTTGGTGAGGGACGTCAGCTCACCACTGACTTTACACAGTAATGCGTTTTCAGTTAAATTGAAGGTTGTAATGACGCTTAGTTTATTTGCTGATGATTTTGGCCATCACAACCATCGATAAGCTGAATAGTCATGGAAACAATTATAGCACTTACACACACTGTCATGCGTTTCATCGACTTCCCAACACCCCCGTAATCCGACAGAAGCAAACACAGTTCATGCAAATAGCCGGCAATACAGGAGTACTAGGCACCTTTGATGGCGTTCATATAAAGATAAACTTTTTTATCTTTTATTTATTAATGTGTAGGCCTATATCATAATGTATTATCTTAAAAAAAATGTTATAGTTAAATGTGTGTTGAATATAAACTCCTCTTAGGAATTTCACCATTCAATGTGAATTTATCTGAGAACATTCTTAAATAAGGAAATCTTTTCAGTGATTGGTCCTTGGCTACATCGTCATCCAAAATCCTGTTTGCTGCACAGCAAAGTGTCGTGAATCAGCACTAAGACTGACACTTAAGATTTAGTCCTACACTTCACTCAAATTAGGACTATGATGCTTGATAACTAACTTTTAAGCTCAGCTTTGAGCCAAGAATTTTTTTACTCTTAAGTCAGTTCTTAGCAGTGTTCTTATAAGTAATTCTGAGAAGCTTGATAAATATGGGCCCGGGAGTCCAACCAATTAATATTATCTGCGTTAATTATTATCAGTAGTAATTGTAAAAATCTGAAAAATGTATTGATACATGATACATAATTAAAATGTAGATCAACTATTTATAGGTAAAGTAGGTACAAGGTTCAATTTCACAAAAGGCATGACAAGATTGCAACAGAAAATGAGACGGTTGGCAGAGTTGTTGTGCATTATCTTGTGGGTCGATACACACCTGTCTCCTGGTATATCCTCTATGCTGGGAGAACATAGCAATCCTTCTTTCCACGCCATGTATGGCTGGGCCATCCTAGAGGAGCTGGACTACCAGTAGTAGTTTTGCTAGTGTCCAAGGACACT